AGTAACCTAAGAATAGAAAGGCCTCTCTTTTTGGTATTGTGTAACTTTATAAGGAACCTAGGACTACAAAAAGGGAATAAGGGTACTACTGGAGATCCTAGCCGCTAGGGCCTGTCTCGCGGCCTGCAGAACTCCACGTGTCACCTTGGCCAGGCCCCGACAACATCCTCTCCCATTGCGTTCTGAGCATGAACCCAGAGACTCCAATATCCTTTAATTCACGAATACACCTCAAATTGTAGTAGGATGCTTCTGGGAACTTTGACGTGGGGAGGGCGGGGGAGTCTTCAGGGAGATGGGAGTCTTGAAAGGGGTCCCTAGACCCTCAAACCCAAACCCTAAGCCCCTAGTACGCACCTAGAGTTTAAGAGGTGTCCCACTCATCCTACTCTTTAGGGCTCGATAAGAGCCCCTCCTTCTCTGAAACTGCCATCTGTATCTTTGGTGGTAGCTGCTTGCAGAGGCTCTGGGGGGTTCGTGAGTCGCAAGGTGTGCACTGCGGCACACTAAATTATTATGTGATGGCATGATGCACAATGTGTATGTTCCCTTCACGTGTAGCTTTTCAATCAGGGCGTCTATATAACAACAAGTATAACTTGACTCAGTCCCCAGATCCTCCAAGTCAGTCCGAGCCCCCGAAGTCAAGAGAAAAGCAAAACTTGGAGAAGGGCACGTCCAGAGCTTTAGGGTTTAGGGCTTAGGGTTTAGGGTTTTTCAGAAGAAACTCTCTCAAAAGAGCGGCCTATAAGGATAGTTCTCTCTTCTTCAAGAACCGGGCCCCAAAAAGTTCTCAACCTTTCTAAGATAGAGCCAACATATAAGGCCAAAAAGTTTAAACTTCCCCCGTTCACTATCTAAGAGTTTTCAAAGGTTCCTCAAAGAAAGACTATGATTTAGCCCAGGAGAGACCGGCCCGGGTGCACACGAGACCATCAGGGTATCTGAGGGCTGCGCTTGCGAAGTGCAACGGCATTACAGCCGAAAGGACGTGACGTCGCTACCCACCTTCGTCCGGAAGCAGAAGCTGGAACAAAACAACACAAAGCGGAAGCAACGCGAACCTTGTTCTGCAACGTCGCTTCGTACAAAGCATCACTGCCCCTGAGCAACACTCTCTGCACTTCACAGACTTGTGCTGTGAACGCTCAGCTAGTCCTGGCCTAATTTGTTTGCAACGGCAACGCAGTCATTTTAAAGATTTGGAGCTCGCTGCTCCTGCAGACTGCCCGCGCACACAGAAACAAAACCTCCGCAGCGAGTCGAACTGGGTGCTGGGAGTGCACCTCTGCGACAAGCCGTATAAGCGGATGTCAGCAATTTCTTGCTCTGGAAAATTAAAGATTTCGGTGCAGGACCCCGAACTCGTGTAACGTCCTCTGCACGGCTGCTAGAAACAACTACAGTACCACTGCATCTTCCAGGCTTTGGCAACCCACACCCTAAACACTGACGGTACCATGACTGAGTCCGGACCTGCTGATTTTGTTAAAAGCAGCCTTGAAGCTAGGCAGAGCATGCTGTCTTGGTTCCCCGGTGCAGTCTACGTAGTTTCCTGGATTTGAAACTTCGCGTGTAGGGTTTAGGAAGCAGAGATGCTGTCTCGGAAAGACACCATAAAACTGCAGGGTCCCAAAACCCTAAACCCGGCCCCTTAACCCTAAACCCACCTCGGCCAAGACTTGGCGGAAGCCCTAGCTTCGAAGCGACGGCAAACTCGGAGTCAGCGGGTCAGCACTCCTCACCTGCAGGGAGCCGGTGCAGTTTCGGTGCGATTTGGGGTTAAGGGCTTAAAGTTTGGAGTTTAGGACTTCACGACGATCCCAAATGACATACTGCAGATTCGAGATGTTACGAGTAAGAGACTTGCAACCGTTACCGTTGCAAGCAGCAGCGGCAGCAGCAGCAGCAGCAGCAGCATCCGTCACTACAACCAAACAAAAGCACACAACAACAGCAGCTGCAACCGCAACAGCAGCATCAACAGCAATGGCAAGACTCGCCCCAAACGGGAGCTCTAGGACATCATAGTCGTCCTGCTACAGTAGTAGCAATAGCAATCACCAAATTCGACAACGACTCACAATAAAGAAGATAGCCATCAAGCAGCCAAGCACTGTACAATCCTCGGCCGAGTCATCCCACTCCTTACAACCAAGGAGGCAAAACGTCCGAAAACCCTGAACCCAAAACCCGAATATAGGAACCTTAATGATTATGGGGTTCTGCGGCATATGATACTATAATCATGATAAGGAGCCCCCCAACATAGTATTGGGAATTATTTAGGCCCCAACATTAAAGCATTTCGGGATTCCGACGGTGAAGATCAAGATGGCCGCCTTCTTTTTCCTCCAGCACCCTCTCGAAGACTCCAGTCCCCCATGCCTGCCAGGGCTCTGGTCGTTGGGCTTGGCGCCCTTGAGGGTTAGGGTCTAGGGTTCAACGGTTTAGGGTTTAGGGTTTAGGGTTTAGGGTTTAGGGTTTAGGGGTTTAGGGTTTAGGGTTTAGGGTTTAGGGTTTAGGGTCTAGGGTTTAGGGCGTAGGGTCTGGAATGCAGGCTTTGAAGGTTTAGGGCTTGAGTTTTGGGCTTTGGGTGGCTTCGAGTTTGAGATTTCGGGTTTGGGGTTTCGGGCTTAGGTCACGGAATCTGACACTGCTCTTTCTAAGAGAATTCATCTCCCCCTGCAGCTGCGAAGCCTGATTCCCCCCCTCCCCCGGACTCAGACCCTGCCTCTGAAAAACACCGTAAACCCTACACCCCAAGCCCTAAACCCCAAACCCTAAACCCTAAGCCCTACACCCTAAGCCCTAAATCCTATACATCAAAATCCTCAAACCCCTCAACCCATGGAGTCCCAGACAAGCCTCGTACCCCGACGACGGCGGCTGGTGCCGCCACGCGCCGGCATCGAGGTGCATGCGGAAGTACCCGGGGATGGTCACTGCCGGGTACCTGGGCTTTCCAACTCATTTTGGGACTTCGCCCTGAAGGAGCTTACTGTAGTAGGGCTTCTTCTTTAAAGACGCTGGATTGTGCGAGGTTCTGAATTTCTGTCGTTGGGCAAAACCGGAAAAGAGGTGGCAGGACTTTAGTGCGTGGCTTGGGTGCAGACTGCGGTCGCCCTTCTGGAAGGTCATGCGATAGGCAGCCTGTAGGACGGGAAGGCCCAAAAAGAGGCCACATCACATCGAAACCAGAAGAAGGTCAGTCCAAAACTCCAAAACAAAAGGTTTTAGGGTTTGGGGTTTGGGGCTGCTTTGAGTGTAATTTTGAAGGTTCAGGCCTCGTTGCGCCAGGTGCCATACCGGTCCGAGATGAGCATGGTCCCCTCATCCAGGTCTATCGCTAGGCCGAGCCGATCGTCCGGGCGCCAACGGTCCATGTTGGCCTGCGAAATAGGTCCAGAGCTTAGGGTTGGGGTTGCGGCGTAGCAGTTTAGATGTTGCCTGTGGGGTGGATTTCCTAGACGTGTTCAAATGCAGTGTCAGAAGAAACTTGATCCGACCGCAAGACGAAAGGTGGGCTCCGAAAAGCACCGCACTTCTTCACCACAGCGCCTTAACTTGTGCCCTGTACCCTTGTCGACTCTGTTTGCCATGATAACATAATATATTATGATGCAGTATAATATAGTACACAATATACTATCATATGCTAGAATATGGTATCTTATAGTATCATGCAATATAGCATTCAATCCTATCCCAACACTTCGGCTTCACAGTTGAGCCCAGAAGCGCCGGAGCCGAGGACTTTTTTTGAGATAAGCTGGCAGCTCAGTTTGGGCGGCTGGGGCTCCAGGACGAAGACCCGAATAGGGTTTAGGGTTTAGGGTTTAGGGTTTAGGGTTTAGGGTTTAGGGACCCAACACCTGCTGAACCCTGAACCCTACAGCCTAAAACCTCAATCCTAGAGCTTAAACTGGAAATGGCCTCACTGGACTTGAAGTCGTGCCAGTGACATGCACGCATGGAGTCGAAGGCCCAGCCCTCAGCATCCAAGCCGACACCTTGGGATCTGAAGGTTTGGGGTTTTTGGGTGTACTTGGGGTTTCTTGATAATCGGGGTTTACTGTTTGGCGTTTACGGTTTAGGGTTTAGGGCTGCTGATCCAGATTCCCACTGTTTCAGACAAGGGGCCTGTCGGCAGGCCACGCAGAAAATGGTTACCCTCCACCGCAGGTCCGAACTGGGTCGTGAGCCAGCCGAGCAGAGACTCACCAACAAAACCAAGGAACTCCACTTCGTGATAAAACTTCCCGGAGCTCCGAGCGAGGCTCGGCACCCCGCAGGCATCGAAAACTTTAGCATCACTGGGCGCCAGGTCTGTGAGTCCCCGCAATTGCTCTTGCAGTTCGGGCTGCTGCAAATACTGTCTTAGCACAAAAGACTCTGAAAGTTTCTTCGAGAGCATGGGCCTTTGGTAAGCTAACGTCAAAGCTTCGGTGCTGTTGAGCACAAGCTGCGATTTGGTCAAACACTCTCCTTGTTGAAGGAGCCACTCCAAGACGCGCGTCTGAACGGCCGTCACTCCGCTCGCTTCCTCGACGTCTGTCCTGCCGCCACCGTTCCACGGCTCACATCTTGCCTCGAGAAGCAGGCGCAACGCTCCAACTTCACCCGCCGCTGCAGCCAACGATACCGCGGTGTCACCATTCTTATTGCGAGTCCTCAAGTCGCAGCAGCCTTTCTGGAGCAGAAACTTCAAAGAATCGTCGCGGCCTGCACGAGCTGCGATCATGACCGGTGTGTCTCCTTGGAAGTTGACGGCACGCGGATCGCACCTCGTCTCAAACAAGACCTTCAATGCGTCAGTGCGGCCAGAGCCTGCTGCAAACATGGCTGGGGAGCAACAGAGGGCGAACTTGGAGGCTGTCTTCTGTGGGTCACCACGCGCCCTGAGCAGCACTTCCAGTGCGTCGACGTTCCCTGAAGCTGTTGCCATGTGGACTGGGGTGAAGCCGCAAAAGGCGTCTTGCCCGGAGTTGGCGTCACAACGAGCCTGGAGGAGCAGCTCCAACACCTCCACCGCTCTGCTCGTCGCTCCCGCAGCACAAAGGACGGCGGTAAACCCTTGCCTTGCGACAGCGGTTGCATCGCATCGGGTCTCCAACAGCAACTCTAGTGCATCAACATGTCCATATCCTGCTGCTCCCATCACTGGAGTGAAACCATCCTTGTTGGCAATCCCCGGATTGCACCGTGCCTCCAACAGCAGCTTCAACATGTCACAGCGTCCTTTTGCTGCAGCGAACTCCACTGCACTGCTGCCACACTTGTTGACTATCCTGGGGTCGCATCTGACCTCCAGCAGCAACTCCAAAGCATCAATGCTTTCGCCCGCCTGTGCAGCGCTGATGATTGGGGTGTTGCCATCCTTGTTAGTAGCGGTTGGATCGCACCTTGCCTCCAGCAGCAACTTCAGCACACTGACGTCTCTGCTTTTTGCGGCGAACATGACTGCGCTGCTTCCGTTGTTGCTTGCGATCTTGGGGTCGCACCTGGCCTTCAACAGCAACTCTAGTGCATCAACATGTCCATATCCTGCTGCTCCCATCACTGGAGTGCATCCATCCTTGTTGGCAATCCCCGGATTGCACCGTGCCTCCAACAGCAGCTTCAACATCTCACAGCGTCCTTTTGCTGCAGCGAACTCCACTGCACTGCTGCCACACTTGTTGACTATCCTGGGGTCGCATCTGACCTCCAGCAGCAACTCCAAGGTATCAATGCTTTCGCCCTGTGCAGCGCTGATGATTGGGGTGTTGCCAGCCTTGTTAGTAGCGGTTGGATCGCACCTTGCCTCCAGCAGCAACTTCAGCACACTGACGTCTCTGCTTTTTGCGGCGAACATGACTGCACTGCTTCCGTTGTTGCTTGCGATCTTGGGGTCGCACCTGGCCTTCAACAGCAACTCTAGTGCATCAACATGTCCACCGCCTGCTGCTCCCATCACTGGAGTGAAACCATCCTTGTTGGCAATCCCCGGATTGCACCGTGCCTCCAACAGCAGCTTCAACATGTCACAGCGTCCTTTTGCTGCAGCGAACTCCACTGCACTGCTGCCACACTTGTTGACTATCCTGGGGTCGCATCTGACCTCCAGCAGCAACTCCAAGGCATCAATGCTTTCGCCCGCCTGTGCAGCGCTGATGATTGGGGTGTTGCCATCCTTGTCAGTAGCGGTTGGATCGCACCTTGCCTCCAGCAGCAGCTTCAGCACACTGACGTCTCTGCTTTCTGCGGCGAACATGACTGCACTGCTTCCGTTGTTGCTTGCGATCTTGGGGTCGCAACTGGCCTTCAACAGCAACTCTAGTGCATCAACATGTCCATATCGTGCTGCTCCCATCACTGGAGTGAAACCATCCTTGTCGGCAATCTCCGGATTGCACCGTGCCTCCAACAGCAGCTTCAACATGTCACAGCGTCCTTTTGCTGCAGCGAACTCCACTGCACTGCTGCCACACTTGTTGACTATCCTGGGGTCGCATCTGACCTCCAGCAGCAACTCCAAGGCATCAATGCTTTCGCCCGCCTGTGCAGCGCTGATGATTGGGGTGTTGCCATCCTTGTCAGTAGCGGTTGGATCGCACCTTGCCTCCAGCAGCAGCTTCAGCACACTGACGTCTCTGCTTTCTGCGGCGAACATGACTGCACTGCTTCCGTTGTTGCTTGCGATCTTGGGGTCGCAACTGGCCTTCAACAGCAACTCTAGTGCATCAACATGTCCATATCGTGCTGCTCCCATCACTGGAGTGAAACCATCCTTGTCGGCAATCTCCGGATTGCACCGTGCCTCCAACAGCAGCTTCAACGCACCAACCCTTCCCGTCCACACCGCTCTCAAGGCTGGAGTGACACCACCCTTGGTGGCGATCTTCGGGTCGCATCTCGCTTCCAAGAGGGCCTGCAGCGAATCGGTCATCTGCAGCCCTGCTGCCATTAGGATCAAGGGCTCACCGTCCCTGCCGGCAGTTTGCGGGTCACACCTGGCCTCGAGCAACATCGGCAGCAAACTTGCGTGCCCATGTTGTGTAGCGGCACTTATTGCACTCGTGCCGCGTCGGTTACGTGCCTCTGCATCGCACCGCGCCTGCAGCAAGAACTGCAAAGCGGCACTGTGACCTCGCCCTGAAGCCAGCAAAGCCGCATTGCTGCCATCCTCGTCCGTTGCGCTGAAATCTGCGCCAAGCTTCTGAAGCGCCCTCAGCACATCGACCTTTCCGGCTCTCGCTGCAAGATGAAAAACAATTCCCGACCGGGTCTCAGCTGTGTGAACATCGACTCCCTGGGCATGTAACATTTCGACATGCCCAGCAAGTACAGCTTCATGGAGCAGCAACCTGTCCCTGTCTGAGCCCTCCTCGTCGTAGGCTCTCCAGAACTCCTGCACCAAATGCTCGGCACCGAGGCTCACAGCCAAATGCAGCCGGCTGTCCCCAAACACCGCACGTGTTGGGAACAGGCACACGCATCGAGTTCGCAACAAGGCTTGGTAGATCAAAACCCCGAGCATAGCCAAGAGGTGCATCGTCAGGCCCACGCCCATCAAAATTTCCAGGATGGGCTCCGTGGCCAAGGGACAAGCATGCTGGGTCACAGCTCCCGACTTGTGTGGAACCATGATGCTGAAAAAGATAATCAGATTGCTGCGCCAGAGCGCTGTGCACAATTGCAGGCGTAGCTGGGCACAGAGATCTGCGGGGAAGCAGGGCCAGGGCATTCCGCACGTGCAAAGACCAAGGAAAACTAAGACAGGGGGCTCGTCGCTGGTGCGTTCATTCTCCCGGAAGGAAGCTTTTAAGCACCTCTTTGAATAGAGTGCACATGCCGCCATCTCACATAAGAAAAGAAGGGGTATGAATAGTCGCGCCTCAGCATCCAAAACCAAGCATGGGACAATCCAAAAGATCACCCGCGATGCCACGTCTCCAGTACGCCAGAGCAACAAAGATTTTCCCGGCAGCAGAGGCTCCACATTGTGGGCAGTGTCGAGCTCATCATGCTCGCGCAGAAACATAAACATAGCCGGGACATGGCGGAGGCACAAGAAGGCAGAGTTGATGCCTGCAGCTGCGGACAGCAACTGGAGCACGAAGGCCATCCAGAAGAGGAGTGGGTTTGTCTCAGGCAGAGCATTGAAAGCCAGGACCCCGAGCTGAATGACGCTGGAAGGGACTGCCCCAAAGAGACCAGCAATCAGGTAGGCTTCTATGAGACCCTGGGGGCGGTCCACGGCACTTGTGGGAATGAGTGTCACGACGAAGCTTACCGCCGATGACAGTTTGAAAACTGTCAGCAAACCTCCGAACCACCAAATCCCACCTGAAAAGTAGACTGCTGTCACGTAGATGCCGGATATCAGGTCCGCCAGCCGCAAAGTGCAAGCTTCGGTCTCGGACAACCCCAGAATCGTCTCGTCCCACTGCAACTTGCTCTCAGAACCTTCTTCTGAATACAATGAGTACACAACGTTCCTCCAGCGGAGAAGGCGGGAAGGTGCCAAGGTGAGCAGCGAAATGCCAAGGACCAACCGGAGCCACGGCCAGTGTTGCGGATGCGTGATCCATCGCAAGCTCTGTGCGTAGAGCCATTGGAAAAATCCGGGTGCCGCAGCCGCGTGCGTCTGCAGTTCCTCGGCTCAGGACCAGGAGGTCAAATCGCCAGACCCCATGAAAGTGCTGCACACCACATCCCTGCACTACTTGCAAGGCATGCATCGGCGACCAGGCAAGGCTTCACACGATCCCACGTCCTCTCGACTGCCTGGAGGCCGAGGACGTCGACGGCTGCCTCAGCTTCCTTGCGGCGGAGCATCCGGCCTGACTTCAGGGTTTCCTACGCCAGTGGACATGAGGGAGGCAGCAACCGAACTCAAAACATCCAGCCTTGCATCGGGGATGAAGCAAACGGAGACCATCCCGGGAGGATGGAGGCCGAGCATAAGGCAACAAGTGGCAGGAAGATCGCCCATGGGCGACTGCGTAGCCTGCAAGTTGTCGGGTCGGCCGCCCGGGGCGGCAGAGAGCGAGACATGAGCAAAGCTGCGGTGCAATCGTGTCGCAACTGCCTCAACATCTGCAGAGTGAGGCATGCAGCTTTACAATCCTGCATGCTGGCTATCCTGAACTGTGGCCGCTACCCTCGCATCATGCGTGATGTCCGGCTGGATCTGAGGTGGCGGCTACCATGCGGCCAGGAGCATCGGCCTTGCAACTTGCAACTTCGACAGGGGCCTAAACCCTAAACGCCCGAAACCTGAAGTTGATGTGATAAGTCCTGCGTTATGTTAGTGACCCTAGAATATGGGGGGATGTGTAACATCAACCCTGGGTCTCCTGAGCCAGCTCTAGCGCAACTGCCCAAAGTATACCAGGTTCAAGATCCTCAAGACAGTACTTGGAAGGGCAGGGGACTTAGTAAGTAGGTTATAAGTAGAGTTATAAGTACCCTAAATGGAGTTACCCCAATTATAACCCTACTTCTAACCTACTTACTAAGTCCCCTGCCCTTCCAAGTAGATCTACCCAGAGACTCGAATACCCCTGTAAGTGCAAGGGCCCCAAAACGCCCTAGAGGTCCTACAACCTCGAGCCCCTTCCAAATTGAGGATGGGCAACAGCGTAACATATGCGTGAACCATCATGAACCATGTCTTAAAGCCAGGAGACCCCTATTTGCCTTAATTAAGGAATATATACCTTCAAGTATGGTAGGATCAATAATATGATTTAAGGAATATTCCTCGGTTAAGGGTATTGATTGGAGTCTCTGGGCACTGTAGACAGTACTTAAAGGATCATGATACTAGCTTACAGGGTTCCGTTAAGGGGGTTCCAAACTGGAAGAGGGCTCCATAAGGATGCTTACACGGAGTATACAAGTGTTCCCAAACAACCATTGATATAGGGGGCTTACTAGAAGGAACAAGGCGAAGCCCAAGCTCGCCGGTGCACACCATTAGGGCTTAGGGCTTCGGCAACTTGTAGGAATGGTCGGCTGACCGACGTGAAGCAAAGCGAGATGGTTTTTGTTTTAAAGTGCAATGGCCACTTTTCGAGTTAAGGTTTAGGATTTAGGGTTTAGGGTTTTAGGCCCGGGTGCATCCATGCATGCTCAGATGTGCCAACAGACCCGCAAAAAACTGCGCGAAGCCAGGAACTCTAAAAGACACGGGGCTGTCAAGAGAACCCAAAGTCCCGGTGCGGAAAGCAAGCCTGAAAAAGATGGGAGCTGGACTGCAAGTCGAGATGCTTGCCGTAGCCATCGAAAGATGCCTGGGTCTCTGCCAAGCTACAACATCACCCCTAAAGGCCCAAATCCATATGCACCTGCACCTAAAGAGATCCAGAGTAGACCCTGCGTAACAAGAACGATGGCGCATCTTCATGGAGGCATCAGAGGAGCTGCGCAGTAGTACGACTGCATGCTTTTTGTCACAGGCACATCTTCCCCTGTGAGGCTTTGCTTAGTGACTCGTGTCTGTCAGGGCTTATGACTGCAGACATTTAGAGCAAAGGGACTTGAATTCCAGAGAGCAAGCAAAGGAAATGAGACATTGTGGCGAACAAACGCAGGTTAGATCAATACCTCGGCCTCAGATAGTCATCGTCGCTGTCAGAATCCGGGATTCTGACTCCGACAAACACGGTCTGCAACTCGTCAAACGTGTAGCCTGCCCTTCGCAGCTTCCTGACATCGTAGCCAGCTTCCTCACACTCCGCAGCAGTGAAGCCTGCTGCCCGGCACTCGGAAGCCGTGCAGCCTGCCTCCTTGCAGGTGCTCACGGACATGCCGAGGTCCCTCAAGACGTCCCTCTTGAAGCCTACCTGGATGTATCCCCTTGCGGTAAAGCCAGCTTCCCTGCATCGTTCCAGGGAGTAGCCGGCCTCCTGCCAGCCGTCGGCTGGGAATCCCGCCTGGAGGCACTCTGCCACCTCATAGCCCGCTTTCAGGCAAGCCGTGCACGAAAAGCCCGCTAGTCTGCAGACGCTGGCTGGATAGCCATCCTGTCGAACTTCACGAAGCCTGCGAGGAACCTCATCCCCGGCCTCGTCGCTGTCCAAGCTCGAGAGCGCCCGACTAAGTTGGGTGAGATTGCCCGGCAAGCGAAGTTGGAGATAGGCACCACAGATGGCATCCCTCACCGAGTCCCCTGGATCAGCGACGAGGAGGTTGAAGTTGAGGCTTTGCCCACTCTTCTTTGCTGCCTTGCGTCTGTTTTCGTGGATCCCTTTCGATGTTCATTTTAAGGGGTGTGCTTTAAGGTTTCCTGGAAGGGCTTCTATACGGTCATTTGTCAGTAAACATAGCTTCCTGCCTTGCGTATGGTGGCTTTCTGACCCACAAGCGTCTCCTTTATCCATCGGTCGCGCTCCCGCCAAATCTCTATGTACAGGTCCCTGCCTCTTAGGACATTCAAGGCAAGAAGCACCTTGGTGCTCTTTTCGGTTAGGGTGCAGGGTTTTGGGTTTCGAATGCCAAGGCTTAGGGTTTAGCTGAGGGGCGCAACCCTAAAGCCTGAACACTATAATGTAGTTGGAGGACCCTCAGACCTCCTAGGAAACCCAACCCGAACCCAAAACCCTGGCCCCTAAACCCTAAATCCTAAAACCTAAACTCTCTAAACCCTAAACCCGAAACCCTGAAACCTGCAAAGAACACAGGGAGGGGGCGCTTCTTCGGCGATTCCATGCAGGGTCGGGAACAGCTGCCTCTGAAGGTCCTCAAACTTCTGCCTCGACGTTCCCGGCACCTCCTGGGGGTTTTGGGGATCCTTTAAGGGCTCCTTTAAGGGTTCTATTCGGGATCTAGAAGGTTACTCTGAGGTTTAGGGTTTTTAAGGTGTTAAAATTTTAAGTTGTAATTTGTAAAGTTTAGGGTTTTAAGGTTTAGGGTCTTGGGGTTTACGGCTTAGGGGCTTCTTAGCATTGTTGGAGCGCTTTGGGCTCTAGGGTCCAAGCAGGGTTTAGAGTTCAATTTCGGGCGAAGCGGGGCCCTGTTTTGCAGCAATCCTTCTATTCTCACTGCAGCTTAATTTTAGCTCGTGCTTCGCATGCTACAGCATTTCTGAAGCCTCTACGTTACGGTTCTATATTCAGGTTCTATAGCCAGTTTCTACCTTAAGGTTCTATGTGCAGGTCCTATCTTACGGCCCCTGCCCGTATTAGGGTTCCACCTTAAACGGCTTCCGTAAAGGAAAGCTCCTTAAACCCTTAGGTCCAAACAACACCTGAAGCCCAAGCCGTAACGCAACAAACTAAACTCGAAGCTCCAAACCAAAAATTAAAGGACCGGATAACCCCACATGTGAAGATCATCCATTCATATAGAACACAAAAGCGCAGAAGAGTAAATGAGTGAGGGAGTAAATGAGTGTGTGAGTGAACGAATGAGTGAGTGCTGCTGTGAGTGCGTACGTGGGTGTAGGGTGTATGATGTGTGCATGTGTGGTATGCGAGTGTAGAGAGAGAGTGTGTGTGTGTGTGTGAGTGTGTGTGAGTGTGTGTGTGTGTGGGTGTGTGAGTGTGAGTGTGTGAGTGTGTGAGTGTGTGAGTGTGTGAGTGTGTGAGTGTGTGAGTGTGTGAGTGTGTGAGTGTGTGAGTGTGTGAGTGTGTGTCTGGGTGTCTGAGTGTCTGTGTGTCTATGTGTCTGTGTGTCTGTGTGTCTGTGTGTCTGGGTGTCTGGGTGTCTGCGTGTCTGTGTGTCTGTGTGTCTTTGTGTCTGTGTGTCTGTGTGTCTGCGTGTCTGCGTCTCTGCGTGTCTGCGAGTCTGCGTGTCTGTGTGTCTGTGTGTGTCTGTCTGTGTCTGTGTGTGTCTGTGTGTGTCTGTGTGTGTGTCTCTGTGTGTCTGTGTGTGTCCTGTGTGTGTCTGTGTGTGTGAGTGTCTCTGTGTGTCTGTGTGTGTCCTGTGTGTGTCTGTGTGTGTCCTGTGTGTGTCTGTGTGTGTCTGTGTGTGTCTGTGTGTGTCTGTGTGTGTCGGTGTGTGTCGGTGTGTGTCTGTGTGTCGGTGTGTGTCTGTGTGTCTGTGTGTGTGTGTGTGTCTGTGTGTGTGTGTGTGTGTGTCTGTGTGTGTGTCTGTGTGTGTGTGTGTCTGTGTGTGTGTGTGTCTCTGTGTGTGTGTGTGTGTCTGTGTGTGTGTGTGTGTCAGTCAGTGTGTGTGTGTGTTTTTCTGTCGCCCTGCCCCCCCTCGCAAAATTATAGGGCTTTCACGGCTGCAAAAATCAAAAAAATCATTCTTTAAAGAGTATATATACATATATGTGCCCGATACCTTTAGGGTCTATATAACCGCGGTTTGTTGTCTTCAGCACATAATGGAAAGCAAAATATAGGGTATAAGCACAGCCCACATTACAAAGCCACGACCTGAAAAGTTTCGGATCGACTAGGCTATATTTTTTCTATCAAGTAATTATAGCAAATTATTCGCACTCAGGGAGACGAGTATTATATAAACAGAACATCGAGTGTTGATCCCAACACTGTCGATGAATAAACATTCGTTGTGATGACACATTTCAGTGTATAGAGTCCATACATCTTCCAGGAATGATGTATCGTCGTGGAGATATGCATAGCACTGTCAGCAGTATATCGGCAACACGGACAAATTGTCCTGTCCCAATATTTCACAATTCGACTTATTGTTGACTTGCCAGCGCTTGAGTAATTGCATACGACATATCCACCCAAGAATCACGTAATAAGCATGCACGCTGTAATATGGCATAAATTTGTTTGTAATTTCCGCACAGGCCAGAATGCAAAACCTGACAGGTTCGGTACTCATGAATCGGATGTGTTCATATGACAAATTATGGGAATACATACGGCATGACACATCCATATCACATGATGCTGTCGCAACACTTACTACAACTCGTTGCCTGTTATATTCTGTTGTTACATATGCTACATATATCTACTGAGGCAAGCCAGGTCTGAACAAACTAGTTCCTTGTCAATAGGGTTTCAATATGAGGAGTGCATGTAATGTATTGGTTCGCCCTGTCCAGGAAGTGAAGAGAAACATTA